TCAGAGAACTATAAACTTGATGTTAACATGGTTTCCTTTTCCCAGTTGCACCTTTGCAGATGACTGCAAAGATTCCGACTGGTTGTCCATTCCTGATGAATGGCAGCAGAAAATGGTTTCCCACAGAGTTGAGAAGGACTCCAGTGGACAGGTGCAGCTCACACACACACTTCTGACTGGAATCAGTTCTAACTAGCAGGTCTTTATCACTCGTATTGCTTTCTTTCTCAGATCGCACTAAGCATCCAGACACACGTGACTGTGGGTCAGAACCCGTCCAAGTTTGCCTGTCATTTCTCTGCAACTTCCATTGAGCTTTGTAGCCGGAATAGCCCTCCTCCACAGTTCCCACAATGCACCTGCATCCTGTCTAATGGCGCGCTTCCTCCTGACGGTCAGTGACTTGATAAATAATCCATACATTGAAATATTTCTCACTCAAGGACCTTAAACCATCACAACAATCTATTAAACACAATATTGCTATAAGCTGTGGAGTCAGGTTTGTGTCAGTATTATAAAACAAAAACATTTGAGACCAAATTAAGCAAAGTATTTGTGTCATTGTTTAAACTGTATGTCTTATATTGTTTACAGTTCATTTCACTGTCCCTGTGTTCCAATGACAAAATTATCAATAGCAGATTATTTTGAAAAACTAAACATGGATGTCCATAGGATCTGTCATTTCAAACCTTCCCATTCATTGTCTATGGAAGCAGGCGTGCAATGCATTCTGGTTGCATTGCGATGTGTTTGGAGAGACAGGGCATCATGTTGTACGATCCTTGTTGATTTAAATTTGAGGCCTAGACTGTTGCAAATCAGGTACATCCAGCTGCCACTCAGTGCTTCTGGAAACTCAGAAAAAAACTGTAATACTTTGAACTTTTTCTAAAGTGAAGATAGATTCAACAACTGCATGTCTTATTCCTCAACTTAAGTAATTTTAGAAATTAGAAAATAGATTCTTGGTGATGTGGTTTTGTCATTTTTGTCAAATTTAAAGCCGCCAAAAAACAAGCCACCGTGTTGGTCCAATCAACAGATAAATAAATATAATCCAGAGTCACACCTTCAAACTGTGACCAAAATGGTTGCACATACAGCTTTTTTTCTTGCGTGTGCAATTCAAAATTTTAGGTGGTCACGTTTGTGCAAGTGTATGATGATCATTAGACTAATTTAGAGACACTCCAGCCTGCATGGGCTGCTATTGAGTTAGCTGCTGTCCATGAAAGCGTTACTTCTTCTTCTTCATTGGCTCAGTCAGCTCTAACCTGCCTAACGTGGGAAATAATCCATTTCACTGTCCCTGTGTTCCAATGACAAAATGATCAATAGCAGATTATTTTGAAAAACTAAACATGGAGAGCAATGTCCGACTGAAACACATATATTGATCAGAATGTGGGTGCTGGCAGGGAGATCTCGACTAAGCCAGTTACAGAAAAAGCAGCTCTCTGCTCTGTCATGATAGCTAACGCAGTGCTCGGGCTAAAAAGTAAAAAAATAATATTAACAGGGATCACAATTTTCATTTCCTACAGTAAAGCGCACATGATCGACTGCGGTACTGATGTTTAAAATTGCACACCGCACGTATAAAAGTCAGCTTAAAGAAAACAGCCCATATAGGCAAAAATCACTTTGACACAGCCACATGTGACAGTAAAATGCGTTATTTCATTCTTTTCCAACAACATTTTGGTCTCACAGCTGTCTGCGTGAACTGCAGCTGCCTGGCTAGCATTTACCTTAGCCTGCAAGGAAGGAGTTAAGCCTGACCAGTTTATGGGACTGATATCAAATAAAGAGTGGGGTCAAAAGGAATGTATTTTTGGATGAAGAACAAAACAAAGACAGCTGCCACCTCGCCCGGAATAGGGAGACCGGGCCACCCTCCTGGAGCCGGGCCTGGGGGGGAGCTCGCTGGGGAGCGTCTGATGGTGGAGCCTTGGGGCCCCATGGGGGTGGAGCGTTACCGGCTAGATATAGTCAGGCTCCCTTCCACACACAGCAAGGGCTCCGGAATCAAACTCCTGGAGAGGAGTTAGACTCTCCTTTTCCAGAGTTGCCCATGGTGAGAGGCGCTGGGTGGGTGTGGGGATACTCACAAGCCCCCGGCTGAGCGCCACCATGTTGGAGTTCTCCCTGGAGAGCGAGAGCGTCGCCTCTCTGCGACTGTGTGTTGTAGAGGGGAAAACTCTGTTGTTTGTGCTTAAGCACCAAACGGCAGTTCAGTGTGTCCGGCCTTCTTGAGTCACCGGGTGGTGTCCTGGAAGAGGTGCTGCCTGGGAACTCCATAGTTGTCCTGGAGGACTTCAATGCTCACGTGGGCAATAACAGTGAAACCTGGAGGGGCTTGATTGGGAGGAACGGCCTGCCCGATCTGAACCGGAGCAGTGTTTTGTTTTTGGACTTCTGTGCTAGCCACGGATTGGCCATAACAAACACCATGTTCAAATATAAGGTTGTTCGTAAGTGTACCTGGTACCAGAGTACCTTAGAGGTAGGTACCGGCTGGCCAAAAGAGCTGCAGTTGCGGCGGTCGTGGAAGCTAAAACTCGGGTGTGGGAGGAGTTCGGGGAGGCTATGGAGAAGGACTTTTGGTCAACCTTGAAGAAGTTCTGGCAAACTGTCCGACGCCTCAGAAAGGGGAGGCAGGGATTCTCCCAGGCTGTGTACAGCCAGGGAGGAGAACTGTTGACCCAGACTGGGGATCTTGTCGAGCTGTGGAAGGAGCACTTCGAGGAACTCCTGAACCCGGTTAACACGTCCTCTGATGAAGGGGCAGAGTCTGAAGACTCAGGGGCTTCTGCGTCCATGTCCATGGTAGAGTTTGCCGAGGTAGTTAAGAAGCTCCTTGGTGGCAAAGTGCCAGGTGTGGATGAGATTTGCCCTGAGATGCTGAAGGCTCTGGACATTGTCGGACTGTCATGGCTGACACGTATCTTCAGTGTCATGTGGGCATCGGGTACAGTGCCTGTGGAGTGGCAGACTGGGGTGGTGGTTCCCATTTTCAAAAAGGCGGACCGGAGAGTGCATTCCAATTATCAGGGCATCACACTTCTCAGCCTCCCCGGGAAAGTTTACTCTGGGGTGCTGCAAAAGAGGCTCCAACCGATTGTTGAACCTCGGATTCAGGAGAAGCAATGCGGATTTCGTCCTGGTCGTGGAACAGCTCTTTACCCTTGCGGAGCTACTGAGAGTGCATGGGAATTCGACCTGCCAGTCCACATGTGCTTTGTGGATCTGGAGAAGGCCTATGACTGTGTTCCTCCTACTCTGTCTGGAGTACTGAGGGAGTATGGGGTACCAGGCTTGCTGCTATGAGCCATTCGGTCCCTGTACAACCAAAGTGCGAGTTGTGTCCGCATTCTCGGCAATAAGTCGGACTAGTTCCCAGTGGGTGTTGGACTCTGCCACGGCTGCCCCTTGTCCCCGATCCTGTTTGTGGTTTTCGTGGACAAGATCTCAAGGCGCATTCAGGGTGAGGAGGGTGTCCGGTTTGGGGACCTCAGGATCGCGTCTCTGCTTTTTACAGATGACGTGGGACTGCTGGCTTCATCAGACCGTGACCTTCAGCATGCACTGAAGCGCTTTGCAGCAGAGTGCGAAGCGGCAAAGATGCGGACCTCCAAGTCGGAGGTCATGGTCCTCTGCCGGAAACCGGTGGGTTGCCACCTCTGGGTGGGGGGAGTTGCTTCCTCAAGCGAGAGGAGTATCTCGGAATCTTGTGATGGGAAAATCGAGTGCAACGTGGACAGGCAGCTCGGTGCAGCATCAGCAGTAATGCGGGTGCTGTACCAGACCATCGTGGTGACGAGAGAGCTGAGCCGCAAGGTGAAGTTCTTGATTTACCAGTCCATCTACGTCCCAACCCTCACCTATGGTCACGAGCATTGGGTAATGACCTAAAGAACGAGATCGCGGATAAAAGCAGCCCAAAGGAGCTTCCTCCGCAGGGTGGCTGGGCTCAGCCTTAGAGATAGGGTGAGGAGCTCGGACATTTGGAGGGAGCTCGGAGTAGAGCCGCTGCTCCTGCGCATCGAAAGGAGCCAGTTCAGGGCTCCAGACTAACTTTTTTTACTAGGAGCACAGTGGCCCCTAACTTAAAATTTTAGGGGCGCAAGCAGAAAATTTAGGAGCGCACACCGAAATCGACTTAAAATGTTTTCCTATCATATACACTGTAACACTGATAAATACTTTGACAATAAATACAGAAACTACAAGCTTATGAACTCATTTTATTGTGCAATGGTTTTGACAACATAAACCAGTTACAGCTTAATAATACTAAGTGAATATTTATGTGCATGTGCATGTTGCACTTCGATGTGGCCAATCAAGACATTTGTTGGTCTCCCTTGCTGCAGGATCCTGGCATATATTATTTCACACTCTTTTGTTGATGTATCCGTGTCTCCATCGATCATGAGTGACAGATAAGGAGCGTCCATAATCTTCTCGTTCGTCCTTCGTTTCAGTCCATCTGCGATGACGCCAATAAACTGTGCGCATGCTGTGTCGTTGTTGTATGTTGCGTTTATTTTCACACCATTCTTCCTTTGTAGATCGAGTTGGCCCTTAAATTTTGTAAAAGGAAGTTCTTCTTTGGCGATGAAATATGCCGTGTTAAATTTCACAATCAATTCGGCCTCCTCGGCGCACTGGTTAGAAGCCGCTTGTTTTCTAAATGCGACTGGGAGTGGAGTTGCACTGTCATTGGACAGGTCGCGGCACATTTTGTGTTTCAGACTGGCACTGTGTTTAATTAATGTGTCATGTTTTAATTGTGTAGTGCCAGTCTTGTCAGCAAATTTTGTGTTCCCCGCATGTTGTGGGTATCTACAGCAGAATTTGCAGTTCATAGAATTCGTCTCCCTAAAATACCTCAGCCAAGTGAACTCGCGCAGCCACTCTTCACGAAAGCTGAATGTCCTGGCTTTTTTCGCCACGACCGTTTCCTCGCAATCTGAGTCGGACTCATTCACGACATTTGTCTCCTCAGGAACATTATTTTTTGTGGGCAGAAAGTACGAACTGATAGTCCTCTTCGCCGCCATTGTCCACTGTTTACAAAGGATACCGGGATCTGAAATCTGTGGATTCGCGCAAAAACCCCAAAGTCCCGCCTCTTTTCACACATTAGCCTATCACAGTCTCACAGTCGTCACCCCCCCCACACACACACACACACACACATTAGCCAGCCTTCTTCTTCTTCTGTTCTCGTCTCCTTTCTTCTTTTTTTTTGAGTTAATGTCAGTTGGCAAACCAGCTCATTTTTGCATTACCGCCAACTAGTGGGCTGAAGTCATGGATCTAATACATCCATGGCTGAAGTGTGGAGCATAAGTTTGTCAGCAACAAAAAATATTAAATTAAAAAATCGGCAAATTTACTGGTCGCGCATGCGCGAGTAGATGAAAAATTTACTCGCACTGTCTCGGATTTTAGTCGCAATATGCGACCATTTGGTCGCAGTCTGGAGCCCTGCAGTTGGGGGGGGTATGGACATCTGATTCGGATGCCTCCAGAGAGGCTTCCTCTGGAGGTCTTCCGAACACGTCCACCTGGGAGGAGACCCCGGGGCAGACCCAGAACCCGCTGGAGAGATTATATCTCTCGGCTGGCCTGGGAATGCCTTGGGATCCTCCAGGAAGAGCTGGAAAGCATCGCTGGGGGGAGGGAAGTCTGGGATGACCTGCTTCGCCTACTGCCCCCGCGACCGGACCCCATATGAGCGGAAGAAAATGGATGGATGGATGAATGGATGGATGGACGGGGGCGGCTAAATCATGTGCTGGTGCCACCAACTGCCCCGTACTTCTACTGAAAAGTTAGTCTGGAGCCTTGATAAAAGATAACCATCAGAAAGACCTTCTTCCAATCAGGTGCAGCAGCGTTTGTATGGCTATGAGAGGGCGGATCCTGTATTGGTTTTCTATAGGTGAGCACCTGTCAATCATCTGTCATGACACTGTCTAGCACCCCCTATGGACACACACCATCACTGATGGCTCTTTCATTTGTGGAGTCTGACTTTTTGTTTGCACTTCTGACACCAACACAGGTAGGCGGGCTTGATAGGCACGCATCCCCATTGGCTATTGAGTTTTTGAGTGACAGCTCAATGCGTCATTGCAGCTATTGTTGTCAACCTAGCGATTTTGTTGCTTGATGTAGCAACTTTTCAGCCCTTTAGCGACTTGTTTTTTAAACGGGCACCCAGCAACAAATAGAGCAACGTACTGGGCAAGCCTGAGCTACTTTCCATACAGTTGGATACCAGTCCCGCAAGCTCGAGGTTTTGCTTTCCCGCACAAGCAACCCCCTCTTTGTTTCTAATCTGCTCAGAGAGGAGCAGCACATTCAACTGATGTACAGCAGCTGACACAGACTGGAGTGAGTGTCTGTGAAAGAAAAAAAAAGGCATTCTGTCATTTCTAACTTTGTTTTCGTAAGAATTTTAAATGTAATATAACTACAATCACAGCACAGCTGCTGTCTTTAACTTAAGTGTGTGGTGATTTCGTCAAATAATGTTATACAATCTGGATCTTAGCAGTGCAGAGCAGCAGCTTGGAAGTGATTGCTGGTTAACATGTAGACGTAGGCCGTATTTCAGTCGCTATTTCACACTCGCTCAGTTGTCCGATAAGAGAAACAGACAAATATGTAACAGATTCATTCCCCTGTATTAAAATGCAATATATGTGAGCGCAGAGAGCAGGAAAGAGGCAAAAAGATGTAAAAGGCTGACATAATGACAATACTGAGCTGTTACTTGAAAGCATATTATCCAATAGAAACAAACCCCTGAAGAAACCTGCCCATGTGAGAGGGTTGTATCAGAAGTGCAAACAAAACGTCAGGCAGCACAAATGCAGCATGACTGCAAAGTAGACAGTGATGGCAAAAGTCTGATTAGTGAGAAAGCAGCGGAGGAAACCGTATTCTTATTCAAGACACATCTCATGGATGCACTGGGACGCATCCTCAGTGATGTATCCTGGGGTAATCGGGTGTTTCGGGTCTTGCAACATCATACACCCTCACCCAGGTGACCCAGCCGGGGTTGATCAAGCCCCGACTTGCGTCCCAGTAGCAGTCCACGGATCAGCCCTCTTTATCCAAAGCCACCTTGTGGCCTTCTCTGTGGCTTCACATGCAGATTGGATGGCCCTCCTCTTGGCCGTCCCCGTAAAGCCCAAACGACTCAGAACTTTGCAGAGTGAGCACAATGCAAAGCTTCTGCAGCCCACTTCTATGGGCTCACAGTAGGTTTTCCAGCCTCTCTCCCTGCACTCCTCCACCAGTTCCTGGTATTTCGTGCGTTTCCTCTCGTTGGCTTCCTCAATACGCTCTTCCCAGGGCACCGTAAGTTCCAGGATGATCAGGTGTTTGGAAGCCTCTGAGGTGATGACCATGTCTGGGTGGAGGTTTGTTGTTGTGTGCTGGGGGAACTTCAGCTGCTTTCACAGGTCGGCCTGCAGCTGCCAGTCAGAGGCCATGCGGAGCAGGCCCGTAGGAAGTTGTGAGTGTGCCCGAGGTTTCTCTCCAGGTTTAACAAAGAGGACTGTCCTCATTGGAGCATGGTGATGTTTGCTGGTGCTGATGGTTGTGGCTAGGCTCTCAGCTATTGCCCTAAGCACCTGGTCGTGGCGCCAGCGATAACAACCATCAGCCAGAGCCTTTGGGCAACAGCTGAGGAGATGTTCTAGTGAGCCTCTTCCCGAGCACAGAAGGCAGGAAGGTGCCTCGCTCTTTCCCCAGACATGGAGGTTCGCTGGGCTTGGCAGGGTGTCATAGACAGCTTGGACAAGGAAACGGACTCAATGGATATCTGCCTGCAAGATGTTACTCCAGGTGATCCTGCGCTGCAGTGCACTCTCCCACCTGGTCCATGCTCCCTGTTGCTGGAGTCCTGCTGCTCTGCTCAGCTGCTCTTCCTCCACGCCTGCACGGACCTCTTCCCGGAGCAGTTGGTGTCTCTGTTTGCCCCGAGCCTGGTTGACCAAGGGCTTTGGGAAGTAGTCCAAGCCCGCTCTACCTGTTGCCACAGGGCCCACCAGCGCCTTTTGTCTCAGGCGAGACTCTGCCACCTCCACTGCTGACACTGCCTTCCACACTTCCTCCCTGTTCTCACCTCAATGCCGGCCGATGACACCTTGCAGTACCTGGAGTCTCTGTACTGTAGGGCTTCTCTGGTGCGTGCTACCTTAAATTCTTCAGTGAGGCCACTGAAGGGCAGCTGCAAGATGTTACTAGTCCCATACAGTGCAGCGCTGGTGAGGCTGCGTGGAAGGCCCAGCCACCTCCGAAGAAAGCCACTGATTTTCCTTTCGAGGGAGTACACAGTTGTTATTGGGACTGCATAGACCAGCAGGGGCCATAGGACACGGGGTAGGATTGAATGCTGGTAGATCTGGGCTTTGAATCTACCTGGCAGACCAGACTTGTCTACCTTGGTGAGCCAAGCTTCAAGTTCTTTGTTGGACTTCTGGATAGCCGCAGAATCCTTGAGGCTGGAATCAAAGAGTTTTCCCAAACTCTTAACAGGTTGCTCGGTGATGGTTGGGATGAAAGTTCCTAAGGTGGAAAAACGGAACTTGTCCACCACTTTCCCCTTCCTCAGCACCATGGATCTTGACTTTGAGGGCTTGAAACTCATCTTTGCCCAGGTGATGAGTCTCTCGAGTCCTTGTAAGATCCACCTGCTCCCTGGGACCGATGTTGTAGTGATGGTGAGGTCATCCATATAGGCTCTTATGGGGGGCTGTCGTACCCCTGACTTGGTTAGGGGCCCTCTGCATTCCACCTCGGCTGACTTGACCACCATGTTCATAGCGAGAGCGAAAAGAATAACAGAGATGGTACAGCCTGTTATTATTCCCTGAGGCAGATGGCCGTCCCTCCCTGAGCCTGGTTCTGTCGGAGGTTTTTTTTCCCCTGTGGGGGTTTTTGGTTCCTTCCTACTGTTGCAGACTGCTTGCGGACTGCTGAAGCTTATAGGGAATCCAGATGTTTTGGATTGTTGGGTGTTTCTGTTTCTGCCTTTGTGAAGCACTATGAGATGACTTGTTGTTGTAAATATGCGCTATACAAATAAAATTGAATTGAATTGAATTGAATTCCTTTCCCGATGCGATGCCAGTCTGATGTTTCTGACCCAGAAGTGACCCTCATCCTGAAATGATTGTAATAATCCATAATAAGGTCCTGGATCTTACTGTGAACATGGTGGAGGTGTAGCGCGAGCTCGATCAGTTTGTGTGGTATGGACCCGTCGGCATTGGCTAGATCCAACCACAGGACAACCAGGCCGCCTCTGCTCTCGTGGGCCTGTCTGATGAGCTAAGTGACTGCGCCGGTGTGTTCCAAGCAGCCAGGAGCTCCGGGGATCCCTCCCTTCTGCACTGAGGGGTCGATGTAGATGTTTTTGAGGAGGAACTCTGTCAGTATGTAATGTAATGTAATCCTAATGTATCATTATGAAAAAAGTAAAAGAACAGTTTACATGATTACACAAATAATTTGTTTGCAAGGTGCAGGTTTTTACTTTCCATTGACACACAAGTGATTCCATATAGTTCCTTCAGTAGGATCTGACTCTAACACATGAAATATTCTCTACGAGTTAACAAGTCCGTGTCATTATATGTTCTTACAACGCATGTATTGCCCAAACGACGAAAGAACTTTGACATTCATGTCATTGATTTTGCTTTACAGGCCTTCTTGTCGAAGTAAAGATTAGACTTGGGAAAGCGCATCTGTCGGAACAACTGGAAGTCACCAACTGCTCTGGCATCAGTGGACCACTAAGTTCTGTTTTGTAAGTCCATTAATTTTTTCAAGAGCTCAAAGACATTTGCTGGAATCACATCTTCTATAAGAGCAGAGGTTGAAGCTGAAGTGCACATTCAGTCAGGTGGATCAGTGTAGAAATGATCATGATTGACACAAGTTCATAAATCCTTATTGCTGAGACTCTTTCATCACCTGACAGGATGTGTACGGTTTAGTGGTTTCTTTGTTTGTTGTGTTTGAAGCCACTGTGATCCATAGTAGTGGTTTTATTATGGTTCTGATCACCACCAGTATGGGCTGTCGTCTCCTCAGGTGCCAGCAGTGTATCAAGGCTGGATGTGGATGGAGCAAAAGTGGCTGTTCCTGGGCTAACGAAGGAGAGGGGAATGTAATGCTGCATGTTTTCTATGTCTATCAAATGCAGACTTTTCTACACTTCTTACATGTTGTACATGTGCAGCATCAATCTAACTTTGTCAAATTCTGAGACATTTGAAGATTGTGAAAGATATTCTGAATTTCACATATTTATTATCTGCTAAAAACTGCTGTTCTGTGTACCACAGAATACAAACAGTACATGCGTCAGCACAAACAGTTAGAAGATATCAAGCAGTTATCTAGAAAGAGAAGAATTAATGAGAATTAGAGGATTCGTTTGTAATTTTCCTCACAAGCTCAGACTAAGTTATTCCTTTCTCAGCAGTACCAAACATGTATTGCTTGGAGCAAGACTGACTTTGTTCGTTTAGATTTATTATAAAATTAATACTTTTTATCCTTGTGCTTGGAATTGACCTTTATACTCAGCCTTGCCTCGGGGATTAAAGACTGGGTTTAACTTTGTTTAGAACAGAGGGAAAACAACTTCCAGCAACACCGAGACCATCCTGACTTTACATGCTGAGTAAATTCTTATGCCCACTTGTCGTTAACTCCTGGATCAACTATAATAGTACCTGTACAGTGACTATCATGAGCATCTGCTGAATTTCTTCCTATTTCCTGATGCAGGACAGCGTTTGCCAAAAGATGGATTTTGGGAAAAACTTTTCTGTGAGTCTGAACCCGCCTTATTCACATTCAGTAGAGTTTATAACATCAGTATTATTGTATTAAAGCTGGTTTTTTGTGTGTGTTTTGCTGTCAGAGGCCAGAGATCTCCTCCATCACACCCAGTGTCGTGTCGTTCCACGGCAGAAACCATGCAACGTTGTCAGGTCGAAACCTCAGAGAAGTGAGCGGAGTGAGGATCCAGGGGGACCTGGACTGTACTCCACAAGAGTGAGTCACTTTACAGACAACCCTACAACTATACCTGTGGAAACTATAAAGCCCCTTTCAGACATGCACATCTTTCTGTTGATCTCTGAATGTGTTGGCGTCATGTCTAAATAGGCACCTCCGTGGTGACAGTGTTACGGGCCCCAGCTGGCACAGTGACCACGTCAACAAAGAGAATGTCTGCAAAGACAGACTGCAAAATATATGTAGAGTGTGAGAGTAGGAACAACAGCGGCACTCTCAAATTCCTCCAGATTGCGTATCTTTATTCCATCTACAACTCATTTACAATACATTTCAATGCTCTCAGTGTCCATTACAACTACTGACTAATTAAGTCAAAATAAAATACCATCCTGTATTCATTCATGTTTTGTTACTCAAAACCATATATAATTTCTGCTTATTACATTTCCAGATAAATCCTTGTAACACCAGAAAAACATTGCTTACTGCAGCTTTAAAGTGCTGTAGGCTTCTACATAAGTAATGAAAACCCCAGTTACTCTTTACTCTTACTGTGCTTTTACTTACTGAGCATGTTTAGCTTATTTAAAAGTGGACTTAGCAAATATTTGGAATGCCTTAGTGCTATGAGCTCATTTGACATTTTTCACATTTTTCTCAGAACAACAAATAATTAAAGCTGCAAGCAGCGTTGGTCGGGTCCTCGGTCTGCGTTGGACCCTCATGCCCGTCTGACCACTCTTCAAGTTAAACCTGCTTTAAGGTGAAGGAGCCATGTTTCTGTCTCTGCTCAGCCTGTCAGTGAGTCACATGACCTACTGCACTGCGCTGTGATGATGTCATCGTTCAGCATGTCCCTGGGTGAGAGAGCTGAGAGTTTTACTCGCTTTCTCTCTCCCATACAACCACAATTTTCACCAAATATGTGTAAAAACAGCATATTTCTGTGGGAAATCTTGTTAGGAAGCCCTCAGTGTCATTTTTTAAGCTGTAGGACCTTCAGTTTTTTGTGTAGATGACTAAATGTCACAGCATGTCGGCACATGACCCATAGACAGCCATACAAAGTTTGAGCCGAGGCTGCAGCAGCTCATCAACTTTAACGGCTCGCCATTCGAAAACCGGTTGAGAAACGCCAAATCCCTTCAGAACTTTTGTACATCAAGGCCTTCTCTGTCTCCTGTCTCCAAGTTGGCACGATTTACGCTGTCAGACAAGATAATTTTTTCCCAAAAGATGTTTTCGCTCATTTTTTTATTTTGAAAGGCAAATTGTGGACTTCCTGTTTGAGATAGGTCAGGGGTGTCAGCACGTGATTTGTGGGTCTCATTGAGACGAACATTTTGATGTTGGTTTGATCTCTGTACGACATTCCTACTGGGCGCTAGGTCCATTTTAGTGTGTTTTTCTGTAACTCCGTGGCGCTGGAGAGCATTTTTGTCTTTTTTTTTTCATTTTATCAAATTTTTCGCCGATTCGGACGTGTGTGCCAATTGTGGTGAGTTTTTGAGCATGTTTAGGGGGTCAAATTAAGGGTTTCGCGTTGAAGAAAGAAACGCAGCAGGAACATACTATTCCTTGCTGCAGCACTACTTGCTGCAGCAAGCAGGGGTCCTCGGACCCTAACAATGAATATCTGGTATTAACTGATCAATCTAAACACTCTGAACCAACACAGTATTCAGTGGTGACAAAACATTCATCAAGTCACATCAGGAGTCATACAAAATCAGCAGGAAACCATTTGCACATGAATTACCTGCCACATACATTAATTTCTGCCTTAATACACACATTTTACACGCGAGGTTACTACCGCGAAAATAGCGTTCACTACCGCCACGGTGCGGCTCGGCTTTACCGCCGCTGTGAGCCCCGGCTCAATAGTCTCCAATCACACTGACATTAAAAGCTACACAACTCACCACAACATATTGACTGAGCAACCTACACATCATACGAAGCTTAGAGCTTTCATTCACAGTTGTTTTCAACCGAGTACTAACCTGCAAAATATATGTAGAGTGTGAGAGTAGGAACAACAGCGCCACTCCCAAATTCCTCCAGATTGCGTATGAGCGGTAACAGGAAGTTGCTCCGCAGTGCAACCGGGGAGCTGCAACCAGGTAGTGCCAAAGGTTCCGCCCCTCTACATTATTATTTATACCGGACTACTCTTGCTAAGTGTGCAAATATTATTACAATAATATAAAGTGATGTTAAACAATTTCTCATAATTACCAAAATAACATCAAATGTGGTCACATATTTTGGATGTGCCACAACAGCAATCCTAATAGGTCGGACTTTGTAACATTTATATACAACTTTCAACCCAAGTCTAAACTGCATGTTGTCACATTAACAGGTTGGCATGTGCAAGCAATGTATTTGAGAGTTGCGTTAAGCGGTTTGGAGGCTTTTTCCACATTTCAGGACCAAAATTTAGTGCAGGAAGACCTAAACATTTTAACACAGGGCGTTTCCCTTTCAAGTAAAATCTACTTGTTTCTCAGAATTGCAAATTTGAAAATTAAGCAAAGCTTCTTTTGTTTTCGGGTTTCAGAAATTTAAAGTTAAATATTTTTTGTTGAATAATTTTGAATGATTGGAAGGTGGCTCAGTGGTTAGCATCGTTGCCTCGCAGCAAGAAGGTCGCCGTTTCGCATCCTGGTGAGGACACACGCGATCGGTCTACGTGCAGTTTGCATGTTCTCCCCGTGCAGCGTGGGTTCTCTCCGGGTTCTCTGTTTTCCTCCCACAAGGTCCAAAAACATGTTGAGGTTAATTGGTGATTCTAAATTGTCCGTAGGTGTGAATGTGAGTGTGCTTGGTTGTCTGTCTCTAAGTGTAGCCCTGTGATAGACTGGTGACCTGTCCAGGGTGTCCCCTGCCTTCACCCTGAGTCAGCTGGGATAGACTCCAGCCCCCCGTGACCCTAGTGAGGATTAAGGTGTAGAGATAGTGAATAGATGGATGGATGGATATTCTTAAGGCTTTTTTTTTTTTTCCCATTTGATCTCTTTTAGTGTTTATAAATGTTGTAATTGGGGTAAAGTTATCATTCAGATGTGTTAAGCTTGTAGCTTTGTAAAGTGATGTTTCATTGTGTTGAGAAAGATTTACGGTTCTGAGGGTTTCTGCACATTATCGCTGACATGATGTTTCTCTGTGTGCTCTGGTCAGATCTCCTGTGTGGAACAACACCGGCACGAGTCTGACGTTCCACATTCCCAGTACAGATATTAAAGGTGTGGTCAAAGTGTGCGTTCTGCTCCCAGATGGTAGTTGCCATGGCAACACTAAAATCACCTACCGCTCAGCGCCGTCCTGCACCGACATTAAACCCAGCAGTACCTGGATCAGGTATGTTTGGATTTCTGATATGATATGTTTTGTGCTTAAATACCAAAATACTGAGTGGAAGAACTTAAAAGTGGTAAAACTAAGCTCAGTTGAAGCTGCAACAAATTTGAAGTGACACATGTAGCATCCTGCCATCACCACATCCATACGTCGACCATAGAATAGTTGATTATGAGCTAACAAGATGATTGAATAGATACTTTGATGTTACAAATGGCCATGGCAGCACGCCCAAAACTGACAACTCCAAAAAAGGGCAGCAAAAATGTATGGCTATTTTTGGATCAACCTCAGTGCTTTGTCACTGACTTTAGTGGAATTTGCTGCAGCCTAGCCTAGAAAACGATGTCAGCAGCTGAGGAATGCTTTCAGGTTGAGGGTTAAAGCGATTTCTTTCAACATAGGACCACTTCCCTTTTTAGCTGCAGCAACTGAAAGGGTCATTTTATGTTTCTACATACATTACAGTTTTTACATTTCAAATCAGTTCAGTTTAGCATTTTAATTAAAATCGTGTGCTTGAGGTACAACAGTTATCACATGAGCATAGGTTGGTTACAAAGCTAGCTACAAGCTCTAAGCAGGGCGATATTTGTTGGTTTTTCAGTCCATCATCTCAACAGTCTTCAGAACATTTGTTGTGGATATTCATGATGAGTCACGTCACTCTGATATGTGGAGTACTCTCGTACAAAATCCACAAGTGGACGCCATCTTGAGAAAATTCCCTCACTGGAATGAAATCTGTAATAAATGTAGTCTTCTCTGTTTGGCGGCTGCGTCCTTTTGCAGTGGGAAGAGGAAGATCACACTCATGGGGTCCCACCTGGAGTTTGTGGAAGGGATCGTCCACAGCCACGCCCCACAGGAAGTCAGACTTCCCACAGACAGCAGCAATGAGGTGCGTCTGTAGTCGCGCTCAGCGTCCCGTTGAATTGTTGTCTCACATTAATTATGTCATGTCACATAACGCCATGCCGTTGTTACATCATATTACGACCTGACCGATTACAGAATATACTGTGTGTCATTTCACACAGGGCCGCAGCATGCAACTATTTTGGTCTGTCAAGGTTTTTCAGCGGTTTCACAAGTCTGTCTGCGTCTCTGAGCAGCCAGTCCAAGTAGAAAATCTCACGCTGTTTCAGCTGAGGAAAGTCTGACATTAGAACACCTTATTTCACTCTTTTCAAGTGGAGGCTTCTCACTGCAGAGCTACACAGCAGCGTCTACTGGTGCATGTGAGGCATTCAGGGGGCATCTGTAAATTTAGTAAACGGCCTTGGTTGCACTCTCCGCCTCTGAACTGCACGATTATCTGCATGCACGTCAGTTCTGCTGCACCACGCTCCACTGCATGTAACACCACAAGATAAAACGGCTAACATTATGCATTTAAGAGTGGAGCCAAAGCATAGCTGTTTACTGTTGGGAGGTTATAAAAGCACAATGTCTCCAAGAACCTTGTCCTGTTCTGTGACAGATGTGTGTCTGTCAGAGCAGTTCCTTTTCCCCACAGTGTTTTACCAGCAAACCAATGCTGTGAGCACTCAGCGATGACGATAAAATGTAACACTGCTTATGGTGGAGTAGATAGTAAGAGCTACATTTTCTAATGTCCTAAATCATGCTTGTGAAAAAGAACTACTTTAGTGCACAAATATTTATCTGCATCTTGACTCCAGCGTATTTAAAGTTACCGATGTAAAGTGTGTAGCTTAAAATGTGATATTAGCAGTGAAACACTTGGAGTGTGTTACGGCTGAGAGCCGCTCGGCATGTGGTGGGGCCCAAAACGAAAGAGGGGTTAAGGGGAAAAACAGGTTTATTTAGGGAATCCAGGGGGTGTGGAGCATTAGGAGGCAGGTGAGGAATCCTGGGTGGGGGCGCTGGTTGTGGTGGTGGTGCAAGAGGGTGATTTTCCCGTGCAGGTGCTCGTGCAGAGATTCTCCGTGCTCGTGCTCGTGAGAGGGTTTCCCGTGCCGGGGCTTGTGTAGGGTTTTTCCCGTGCCGGTGCTCGTGACGGGGAACAATCCGTCTNCGGAGAGCGCAGTGCCATGCAGACCTTCAGTGTGTGAGTGTCCCACCGCTGCTACAACATGATCCTGCTGCTCGCTCTGCTTTCTGTTCTCTGGGGACAACAGGCTCGCTGCCTCCTTTTTGATGGAGACATCCGTCACCTGGCAGTGGCCACCAGCGGGGTTTACGTCGCCACAGACACCAAGCTGTACCAGCTGAGCCACGACCTGACTCTGGTCCGCAGTCTGAGCCAGAGAGGGATCTTGACGGCCGCGGACCAGCCGGAGAATGAGCAGTTTCACCGGGTTTCTGAGACGGACGTCTGGAACGCAACTTTCAGCGTCAACATGTTGCTGCCGTTTGTGGCGAACAAGTCCGTGTTCAGCTGCGGGGTGACCGACAACCAGTGCGGCTACTGCGAGGTTCTGGACCTGCACGACATCTCCAAGCTGCTGTACAGGGAACACATCCAGGTGGGACCGCTGAGGCGCAGCAGCGGCTCCGTCGGCTTTCTGCTGGATGTGAAGATGATTCCAACTGGGATTGAAACTTACATCCTGACTGCGGTCCAGCAGCGCAAAGACGAAACGAGTAGATGTAGATCTGACTCAGGAGCTATCAACCTTCATAACGCGAAACAGGGACAGAGCGGAGGAATATTTTCTCTCAATGACGGATTAGGCAAATATGTGATCGAGAGTCAAGGCGGTGTGGAGTTTGTGGACGGATTTCAGATCAGTTCAGTCATATATCTGCTCTCCAACGTGCTGCCACAAGGTGAGAGCAACAGAGTCCGTCTCCTTTGGCTCGAGGGCGAAACGAAAACGAAGATTATGAGGTCGATGCGGGGCGCGACTCTGAGTGCGTCTGATGGTGAAGGCAGCAGACTGCTGGCCTCCTCGGTCATCCCGGGGGAGCAGCCGGTGCTGTGGAGCGGAGTGTTCAGTGTGGACGGAGGAGAAAGCAACACGGAGCTGCTGGTGTTTGACATCAGCCCTGATGTGAGAGGACAGACCGACTCAAATCCAGACTTCTACCCTCCTGCACCCAAGCCAGGAGAGAAGGTGGGTCCACGTGTAACAGATAAACTATCACAGCAGTCCTGCTGCTAAGTGTTATGTTCTGTCTTTTTCATATTAACAGCTGCAGAGTGCTTTAAAAATACACGCAGGGTTACAGTAAGATGGAAACATAAATATGAGAGGGAACCTGCATCAGAACTGAGATAAAACTCAATTCAAGCTTCTTCATCATCTCAAACATTTCTACAAGGTCATTTCGAGCATAGAAAAAGTCAGTTATTGAAAGAGATGTCTTGTCTGTTGGTGATACGAAAAAGGAACGAGGTTCTGCTCAATGATGCTTGGCTTAACTAAAGCAAAAGTGGGATTTATAATGTTTTAATGTCTTTTAGAGATGAGAAATCAGATCATAAGTCTTCTGTAGAGATAGAGATAAAATATTTCAAATGCCAGTTATAACTGTACTCTCAAATGACCTCAATTAATTCATTATCAGTGTATTAGTTGTCTTGATGAAACACTGTTTGTCATGTTTGTCACCATTATGTGATTGTTTCATTGTCTTTAGCCAGTCAATCATTCAGTATTTACATTAGTTATGGTCAGGAAACTTGCTGGATGTGCTGCCCCCACAGGTGTTGAATTATAAACAACACACTACAGGTAAACAAAAATAACAATAACTGTGATGTGCACCCACACAAATGACTTTTGCTTGTCGCACCTCATATAAAATAAGAAACAAAACCAAATTAACATGACTCGTTTCACATAGCTGTGATGACTTGGCAACAGGAGTAGTGATGGGCTACTTCTATGTGAAGTTTGAATTTCCAGGTATTTATAAATCCTACATCTGATGATCGGCGTGTTTCTGCTTCTTAGCCAAAGACCCTGAAACCGAAGGCGGTGCTCTTCAGGCAGAACAACATGACCTCTGTGCTGGCAGTGAGGCACAAGGCCTGGGTGGTTTTCTTCATTGGGACGGCAGATGGGCAGCTCATCAAGGTGAGTGTAGAAAGTCAAATGCATCTGATACTGGGGGGGCGAAAGAAAAAAAGAAGTGCTTAGAATTCGTGTTTCGGAAACAGAGATGACATCCTGTGTAGAGGGCTTTCTGCTTTGTGCTCTTAATAAACTAGTGTCTATAAATGTCAACGTGACAAAGACGCAGAGAAGATGCTTCTTCACTCGTCAGTCTGCTGTGTCATGCTGTACACGTAGTTCAACTAAATGACACAAAAATTGTATTTTGTGTCCCGACATGAGTCCTAAAATTAACCTACCATGTAATTTTATTTAATTCACGCTATCACTGGATTTGATCTGATTGATTGTGGATGACATTTGTCTTTGGAAATCTTCACACCATCTTCTGCTGGCGCCAGAAACATAACGACCGACATCTCACATTATTCTGCTTTCTTCACTTCCTCCTCCGCTCCTCTATCACATCATCTCTTGTAGTTATTTCCATCTCCTCAATTAAAAACACTTCATATTCTGCAGAGACTCTTTATACGCGCTCGCTCACATGATTAGGGAACCGAGCAGAAGTCCGGGATAAACTCCGCAGCAGCTCTCTGCTCGGCACAATGGACTCTTTCATGCTGAGGTTACTTTCATGTGTTCATGAAACCCTCTCAGTGTATTTCTCACAGTTACGGAGCAGAAGAAGTGCTTTTCCATCGATTCACTGACAAATGCAGCTTGGAGTGGAAGACTATAGAGAGAAAATGTTGCAAGAATGACCAAGCACGTGTTGCCTTATCTTGCCAAAGATGGTAGTAAGATGCTGCAGCAGTGCGTGCAGTGCGGGCTTATGACTAACTGCACCACACAGACACACACAAACTAATGAAATGTGTTGATTTTGAGCATTTAAAGTTGATGTACCAAATGAGACATGTTTTTAAAGCGGATGTGGTGCCAAGGATTCTCTCGCATTGAATCGCAGCATTAAATAAGAACCAAAATGACCAAAGAGCAGAGTTTGCCACAAGCATGATCTATGAAATATTACTTTCCGACAACTACTTGTCATATCATGTGCCCGTTATTTTCATGAGATCGCATCTGATGTGAAACCTCACGTGGTGGGAGAGTATGAGTTCACTGTCATCATTCATAGTTTACTGGGTTGATAAATGAAGCAGGTCGAACCAATTTAAACTCATTTGGAAGCATAAAAGCAGAAGCTCAATGCAGACGCAGAAAGAGTGTTGTGACTAAAATGGCTGAAAAAGTCCACAACTTACGCGGGTGAGTTTTAGGCTGAAGAGGGTCACAGTGAAGACATCACCACCGCATTCCTACTTCTCCATTTACACTGACAGCACAAACACGGTTGCATCACATCCTGCATGTTGGTAAATGACAAAGTGAGGCAACACAGTGGCAGTGACAAAAACCATGTGACGTTTCTGACACATTTAAAAAAAAAAAAAGTTTTGTGTTGGTGTCAGCTTGTAGTGGTGTCTGAGGACAAAACAGCCTGTCCATTAGGAGGGACAGGCATCAGTGAATCGAGCTTTTCTCAACGGTCTTAGTGGATGCCGTCATTAGCTGGTGGTCAGACCTAAGAAATGTAGCTTGACTGCTACTTTTTTACCACAGCCATTGATTGCGGCAACATTTCTTTTCTTACCCAATGTTGTATCCGCTGTTGTGCTGCTATGAAAACTCAATGTGTATTAATCCAGTCTGCATCCCATTTACTCCTCATAAAGCAGCAGCAGTGGCCAGGTATTTAAGACTGTTTTTCAGCCACTTTAGCTGAACAAGTTATTTATTTAAAATCGAAATTGCAACTTTAAATAGTGCATTTAGAGAATCCTGCGATTTCGGAAATGTTATTAAACGTGTCTAACTCAGGGTTTAATCAGGATTTTAACTGCTGTGAAAGTGGTTGTACAAATCCATGCCGTTCTCCTTGTGTAACGGTCACGCTTTTAATGGTATCTCATGTGGTAATGCTCTATCATATGTTTTAAATCTATTACACGGTTAGTGCTGAACTGAAGCAGAACTTGAAACTGTTTAACTGTAAATAAAATTGCAATATCTGTCCATGACTGCGTGTGGCCACTGAAAGCCACATGATGAAGTTGTAGGGAAGATAAAAGAGACAGACTTATTTTTAGTCTATCATGAGATTTGTTGATAACAAACGTTTAGAAATATTTAAACCAACATTATGAAGCTTAACATGGAGTCATAGATAATGCAGGTTATCTACCAGGTCAAACTAACCTTATGAGCTCACAGGTGGTACTACAGTCTGCTGACTGTCCAACATCAACACTTGGTCATAAACAGAGGAACAAATGGATGAAATACATTTTGACATTTGCATTTTTATCGTTTTCTTATTTTGACATTTATCTCTTTTAACAAATGTCAAATCCTTTTGCTTCTAATTGGACAGAATTCACAATTTTCAGTTCAAACTTTAATATTTAACAGCACAGCAGCACAGTCTCTCAGGAACTTAACAAAGCTCCGTTGTTGTTGTTGTTGTTGTTGTTGTTGTCAGCTGGCTGTGGACAGGAACTATCGCAGCGCCTGTCCCACGGTGCTCTACAGAGTGGATGACGACCGCAAAGTGTTTCCCAGAATTCATCTGGATCAAGTGGATCAGAAACATGTGTATGTGCCATTTAGAAACCAGGTATTGATGCTCATATGATCCACTTCTCATTATGTCAGNCTGTGTGAAGAATTGAACCGGAGCCTTTAAACTTTCCCCTCATTGTGCTGCTACATGAAAACTTAATGGATCACAAAGGTCATGAATGCCTGCAAGCTGCAGAGTGATCCATCCAGTAGTTGTTGAGACAGTCAGTCAAAAGCACAGATGTAAAGATCATGATGATTCTAGATCTGCCTCACAGGCTGCACTGAAAAGAAGGTCAGACTCTGTGTTGGTGGCTGAACCATGTCGGTAGAACTTTCTATGGTTTGGTTGATGCAGACATCTTTTTTTGTGGAATATTTATTTTATAAGTTCAAGCAGAAATGATGACATGTGTGTTGCTTACTATAGATGTGAATGAGCAGCTCTCTCTTGGTCAGTTCTATATCTGAAACATCAATGTGTGACTCATGATCATTTTCCATTTCCATGGTCTGCTGTTAAGCATGATGTGTGGATTACTGATGCTGCTCACACACACAAGAAACGTCAGGACAAAGGGAAGCTTGCTCAACGATTCAGCTGACAACTAACGGACCTGAACTACTTTTCTCTTTAATGTCTCCTGTGCTGTGATAAAAATGTACATTTCTACCCATCAACACTCACGATAAAGTGTTGGTGTTATCTTTACACATTTCTCCAGAGTAAAATCTACAGTGTTTACTCTGATATACGAGTTAATACTCTGATTTTTAAAGAGTCACTGTCACTAAAGCTACAGAATAGGACATGTGAGTGTGAATGTACAAATGAATTCTGTGGTTTCTGGTTTGATCGCAGCTCTATTACCTCCTAAACCAACTTACAGTAAGTGTGTAACTGCATGTCTACAGGATGTACGATTCGGCCACATTTTACCAACGTGTTGCTAACATGCGCTGTCACGTGTCACCTGTAATAACTGACTGAATGGTTTGGGTGTTTAAAATGTTGAAAAGAGGCGATTATTATCACCTCATCTTAAAAAAACATTCCCATTGGAGAATCTATAGTTTTTTGCACTGTTGTTCAAACATTCTGACAGCGTTAGTGGTGTAGAAAAAGTCCACTTTTATGACTTCACCAGGTCAGACGTGATAAAACACACCAGCTGTCTGTGCAACAACACTTCTTGACAAACCACAGGAACAGACTAGAGACTGAAGTTGTCTCCTGTGTAGTTTGCAGTTTCGTGCCACAGACAGCTCTCTGTGGTCGAGTGCAACAAAATGTGAGAATGAAACAAGAAACAAACTGTTAGCCAGTGTCCATCGCTGTCAGCTCACAGCTCGATAACACAGTGCTGTCAGTGCAGAGGATGGTCTGGCTGGGAAACACTAACAGGGACTGATTTGCTTCTGGAGACAGCTTCAAGTGGATATTTAAGGAACTGCAGGTTGCCGCTAAAATAAATCTTCTGCCACATTTCGTTCAAATTACTACCAGTGTAGTAAAACCTACAGTGTCTATAGTCAGGGATCTTCAGTGCATGAAATGAACACGAGGAAAGAGCGTCTCAGTGCTGACACTAGATGTCACCATTGTTGTACTCTACTGAACATGCAAAAAGTTGCAGCCTATGTTTTAAATGGTGATCTGATGTTTGGAGGGCGAAGTGAACATGTCCTCTGATTGTTGAAGGGTTGAAAAGATCAGCTCATGTAGAGACATCCATCAAGGCTGCATTCTGCCTTCATGAGGATCGTCTATGTGACACTTATGCTTCTGCATCCCATTTGTTGAGGGAATGCATTAGAATCCAAAACTAAGGAAGTAGGTGGTGTTGTGTCAAAGTCTGTTCCCCCCTTCAACATCCCACATGGTGTGAGTCCATTTTTATTGTCTTCTGTGGCTGTTATACACAGACACAAAAAACACTTCAGATGTTGTGATGTTGGCTGCAAGAATTCATATAAGCATCTGACTAACTGAAGAGCCAGTGGATTGCTTTTATTAATGATGGTAATGTTACCACAACAACAGGAAAATGCTTCGTGTTTGCACATTGTGTAGCTAATGTGGCTAACATGACCATTAGCTTTGACTGTATGACCACAGGTCAGGCCTGTGTAAAGCTGAGGGACCTTCAGAGATTGTGGAAACTATCAGCCTGGTTTAGAACCAGTTAACCAGGACTGACTTTTATTGTGTTTTCATGTCACCTGCTGTGCTTCAGTGAAGTTTAGACTGAGCGGGTGTTTACATCTTTAGCTATTATTCTGGGCTCTGTGCTCACATGTGTTGCATTTTAATACAGCCGAATGCTTAATAAAGCTGTTCAGTTCCATTCTTTTCTTTTTCTGTCATCAGACAATGGAGCGAGTTTGAACCTGTGACTAAAACAACCTGTTAAGACTGCACGTTAAGCAGCAGTCACTTCAGAGCCATTCCCAAGCTGCTGCTCTGCTAAACTACTGATTTTGGAACCGCAATGTTGTCTGACAAACTAACAATACACATGAATTAAAAACGGCAGCTGTGCTTTTGAATTCTGCAATATTTCCATGTACAACGATTGGTCAGAGAGAAAGTTAGAGGTGATAGAAACTTCCAGTCTCGCACGCTCTTTCTGTGCTACGAAGCAGGATTTGGGGTTAGCAGGTAACTTCAGGTTTAACTCTGGGTTTCAGGACTGTGATCGTGGTTCACATAATCAAGGTAACTATGGAGATCATGCTGAACACCTAACCTGCTCCCAAGGTTATGTTCCAGATAATAGATGAACATTACTGTGATGTCTCTGAGGAGGGCGGGAGTTTTTAGAGCTGCAATTTCAAAGCCACCTCATCGTTCTGTAGGCCTTTGTATATCGATATAATCCTAAAAACAGAGACTGATGAAGCTCTAAATCCTCACACATCTTGATTTTAAAGACTTCTGTTAAACATACTTATTGGTTTGAATGTTTTTTTCTATATTTGTTCTCTTATTGCTCCCAAAACCATTTCCCACCACCAAGCAGAGGAAACAATAAGGCTGAGACTTTCTGACACACAAGAATATCACAGTGAATCTAAGATTAGGTTGTTGTGAGGAACATAAAGAGACTGCATCTGTAATTTAGTTATACAATCTTGTATTGCATGTTGATCATTTAGCTGAATGCTGACATCGAGGCAACTTAAACATGATCTAAACGTTCCTCACACTGTGCCTTATATGAAGTAGTGACATGGATAAACCATCACCAAACCTTTACACTGTCCACAACCTGTTGCCAGCTTTCCTTCCTGGTTTTGGCTGCAGCTGCACAACCAGACAGTTACAGTTTTACATTTGTCATTGGTTTAGGATTACAGTTACGTCTCCTGGTGGGAACCACCTCTTTCATGTGAACGCTCTCATAGGTAGATTCAGATTCAATGACTGGACTCATCAAGTTGATGANCCATATAGGCAAAAATCACTTTGACACAGCCACATCTGACAGCAAAATGCGTTATTTCATTCTTTTCCAACAACATTTTGGTCTCACAGCTGTCTGCGTGAACTGCAGCTGCCTGGCTAGCATTTACCTTCGCCTGCAAGGAAGGAGTTAAGCCTGACCAGTTTATGGGACTGATATCAGATAAAGAGTGGGTCAAAAGGAACATATTTTTGGATTAAAATATTTTACAAATTGTAAGTCTGTAATCACTGGCAATCTTTACATCAGTGCAAAACTAGGTTTTGAAAAGACAGCTAATCATCAGCATGCAAGTTGGATGAATTGTTCTGTTCCAAAATAAGGGTGTGGGGGGTGGAAGGGGGCGGCTAAATCATGTGCTGGTGCCACCAACTGCCCTTACTGAAAAAGTTAGTCTTGAGCCCAGATAAAAGATAACCATCAGAAAAGCCTTCTTCCAATCAGGTGCAGGCAGCGTTTGTAGGGCTGTAAGAGGGCGGAGCCTGTATTGGTTTTCTATAGGTGAGCACCTGTCAATCATATGTTGCGACACTGTCTAGCGCCCGCTATGGACACACACCATCACTGATGGCTCTTTCATTTGTGGTGTCTGACTTTTTGTTTGCACTTCTGACACGAACACAGGTAGGCGGGCTTGATAGGCACGCATCCCCATTGGCTATTGAGTTTTTGAGTGACAGCTCAATGCGTCATTGCAGCTATTGTTGCCAACTTAGCGATTTTGTTGCTTGATGTAGCAACTTTTCAGACCCCTTCAGCGACTTGTTTTTTAAAACGGCACCCAGCAAAAAATAGAGCAACGTACTGGACAAGCCTGAGCTACCTTCCATACAGTTGGATACCAGTCCCGCAAGCTCGAGGTTTTGCTTTCCTGTCATTAACTTATGTGTGTGGTGATTTCGTCAAATAATGTTATAAAATCTGGATCTTAGCAGTGCAGACCAGTTACAAATATGTAACAGATTCATTTCATTATTAAACTGCAATATATGTGAGCAGAGAGAGCAGGAAAGAGGCAAACAGATGAAAAAAGGCAGACATAATGACAATGAGCTGTTCCTTGAAAACATATTATCCAATAGAAACAAACCCCTGAAGAAACCTGCCCATGTGAGAGGGTTGTATCAGAAGTGCAAACGAAACGTCAGGCAGCACAAATGCAGCGTGACTGCAAAGTAGACAGTGATGGCAAAAGTCTGATTAGAGAGAAAGCAGCGGAGGAAACTGTATTCCTAATGTATCATATTATGGAAAAAGTAAAAGAACAACAGTTTACATGATTATACAAATAACTTGATTGCAAGATGCAGGTTTTTACTTTCCATTGACACACATGTGATTCCATATAGTTCCTTCAGTAGGATCTGACTCTAACACTTTACAAGTCCGTGTCATTATATGTTCTTACAACGCGTGTATTGCCAAAACAATGAAAGAACTTTGACATTCATGTCATTGATTTTGCTTTACAGGCCTTCTTGTCGTATTAAAGATGAGACTTGGGAAAACGCATCTGTTGGAACAACTGGAAGTCACCAACTGCTCTGGCATCAGTGGACCACCAAGTTCTGTTTTGTAAGTCCATTAATTTTTTCAAGAACTCAAAGACATTTGCTGGAATCACATCTTCAATAAGAGCAGAGGTTGAAGCTGAAGTGCACATTCAGTCAAGTGGATCAGTGTAGAAATGATCATGATTGACACAAGTTCATAAATCCTTATTGCTGAGACTCTTTCATCACCTGTCAGGACGTGTACGGTTTAGTGGTTTCTTTGTTTGTTGTGTTTGAAGCCACTGTGATCCATAGTAGTGGTTTTATTGTGGTTCTGATCACCACCAGCATGTGCTTGTTGTCTCCTCAGGTGCCAGCAGTGTATCAAGGCTGGATGTGGATGGAGCAAAAGCGGCTGTTCCTGGGCTAATGAAGGAGAGGGGAATGTAATGCTGCATGTTTTCTATGTCTATCAAATGCAGACTTTTCTACACTTCTTACATGTTGTACATGTGCAGCATCAATCTAACTTTGTCAAATTCTGAGACATTTGAAGATTGTGAAAGATATTCTGAAATTCAGATATTTATTATCTGCTAAAAACTGCTGTTCTGTGTACCACAGAATACAAACAGTACATGCGTCAGCACAAACAGTTACAAGATATCAAGCAGTTTGCTAGAAAGAGAAGAATTAATGAGAATTAGAGGATTCGTTTGTAATTTTCCTCACAAGCTCAGACTAAGTTATTCCTTTCTCAGCAGTACCAAACATGCATTGCTTGGAGCAAGACTGACTTTGTTCATTCAGATTTATTATAAAATTAATATTTTTTATTCTTATGCTTGGAATTGACCTTTATACTCAGCCTTGCCTCGTGGATTAAAGACTGGGTTTAACTTTGTTTAGAACAGAGAGAAAACAACTTCCAGCAACACCGAGACCATCCTGACTTTACATGCTGAGTAACTTCTTATGCCCACTTGTCGTTAACTCCTGGATCAACTGTAATAGTACCTGTACAGTGACTATCATGAGCATCTGCTGAATTTCTTCCTATTTCCTGATGCAGGACAGCGTTTGCCAAAAGATGGATTTCGGGAAAAACTTTTCTGTGAGTCTGAACCCACCTTATTCACATTCAGTAGAGTTTATAACACCAGCATTATTGTATTAAAGCTGGTTATTTGTGTGTGTTTTGCTGTCAGAGGCCAGAGATCTCCTCCATCACACCCAGTGTCGTGTCGTTCCACGGCAGAAACCATGCAACGTTGTCAGGTCGAAACCTCAGAGAAGTGAGCAGAGTGAGGATCCAGGGGGACCTGGACTGTACTCCACAAGAGTGAGGCACTTTACAGACAACCCTACAACTATACCTGTGGAAACTATAAAGCCCCTTTCAGACATGCACACCTTTCTGTTGATCTCTGAATGTGTTGGCGTCATGTCTAAATAGGCACCTCCGTGGTGACAGCAATCCTAATAGGTCGGACTTTGTAACATTTATATACAACTTTCAACCCAAGTCTAAACTGCATGTTGTCACATTAACAGGTTGGCATGTGCAAGCAACGTATTTGAGAGTTGCGTTAAGCGGTTTGGAGGCTTTTTCCACATTTCAGGACCAAAATTTAGTTCAGGAAGTCCTAAACATTTTAACACAGGGCGTTTCCCTTGAAAGTAAAATCTACTTGTTTCTCAGAATTGCAAATTTGAAAATTAAGCAAAGCTTCTTCTGTTTTCAGGTTTCAGAAATTTAAAGTTAAATATTTTTTGTTAAATAGTTTTGAATGATTGGAAGGTGGCTCGGTGGTTAGCATCGTTGCCTCGGAGCAAGAAGGTCGCCGGGTGGGGGGAACGGGATCTTTCTGCGTGGAGTTTGTATGTTCTCCCAGTGCAGTGTGGGTTCTCTCCAGGTTCTCCGTCTTCCTCCCACAAGGTCCAAAAACATGTGGAGGTTAATTGGTGATTCTAAATTGTCTGTAGGTGTGAATGTGAGTGTGCTTGGTTGTCTGTCTCTAAGTGTAGCCCTGTGATAG